AAGCGCAAAGTAGAAACGAAATTTTAAAAAATTGCCACAAATTTCATGAATGAGAGAAAATTGAAATGTTTTTCATTGGCATACTCAAAAGCAGACCTTTTCCACTACAAATTTGTTGCAAAAGTCACTTCGTACTTTATGAAATCTTGAGCAAATTAATGTCAAACTTTGATGTCCTTAAAAATCCGCGAAAATCAGAAGATTCCGATAGTTTAGAGGATGGTTAGACAAATATGCAAAGTATTGATGTTCAAAACTGGCACTGTTGAGGACTTTCTTGTTCAAATGGTATCCAAGTTGTACCTTTCTTCATGTTATGTATTGATTTCCTGTCCCAGTGTACAATTAGTTACTTTCCGCGATACAATTATCCAAGACTGTAGTTAAGTACCAAATTGATTTGTGCATTGGACCTAAGAAGATCCAATGCAACAAAAAAATAATCAATTTTAATTAAATGAAGGTATTAATTTGGAAAAACGTTCAAAAATGAATTTAAAACAAAAATCGACGCAACACGCTCCTCTAGTATTTGCAGCTCTCGGATTTTCTATTTCTAATGAATCTCCGTTGGAACTTTTCCTACTTCCACATTATCCGAGTGATGTAGTTCTTTCAAGTTTTTGATGCCGTCCCTGGGGTAGCACATGGTCGCGAGGTCAAAGACGACTGTAATGAGTTTTCAATTCCCCGGGGTCTTAACTGGGGCCACAGCTATCCTTATTGTATCCGTCTTTTCCCTATTTTCGTTCCAGATCGCCCGAAAGCTTCGTTGTTTGTTCGCTTTTTGTTTTAGTGTTTTAAGAATAATAGGCTCCGATGTCTCCTGGTTACTGAGAAAATACTGGCGAACCGAATACTTGTGAATCATCATTCCAACGAAACGAAAGATCGGGCTAATTTATGCTGAATTTTTAATATTACATTAGTAGTCACTTGGATTGTACAATAGGCCGGACCTTAATTGTTTTTCCTTCGGGACTTTCGCCCCAGGTGAAACTCTGTTCTATAGGCTCTAAAAACTGTGCCCAAAAAGGAATGGAACTTTTAAAATTGATTCATCACGTACCTGAAGGCATCTCAAGGTTTCTTTTGAATATATATGGAAAAAACGTTAAAATTGGCTTATCGTTTTGGAAATGCGTTTAAATTTTAGATTTTCAATATTGAAGCTATTTTTTCCTATATATTTTGAGCTTCTGTATTGAATTGTTCCATCAAGTTGTCTTTGACTATCGTAAAAAAATTGCACAAAACCTCAGAGAACTTGAAAAATAAGTGAAAAAATGGCAATAAATGGGCCTGCAACGTTCATAATCATTCAATTTTCGCTTCAAATTATATATTTTTTGAGCTGCTAAATCCAGTGGTACGCTTATTTTTTGTCTAGGCATTTATGATTTCTCAGTTGGGCTTTTTACGAAAAATCTGAACCTTTTTTCATATTCAACTGTATTTTCCTCATTTAGAAGATGTTTCTTGCTACGTTTTTTTATTAGATTTTTCCTCACTCGATTTTTCTTTCGGTTGACCTTTTCTTTGCTTCAATTTTTTCTATCAATAATTTTGAAATTAAAAATAGATCACTGTTCACTTTTGTCATTTCCGGCGTTTTCTCAAAAGTTCATTGTCTTCTTTTTTCCTGATTTTTTAAAGGGCGATAAGAACAAACGTCGATTATCAGCAAAAAAATATTCGTTAATCTTCTTCGATTTTGTAGCGGAAAGGCAACAGTTTTCGGCAATTTTTCTTCTCGTAAGCGTGTGTTATAGACTTTTGTTTCATGATTTTCTTATAAGGGTTGTTGAGGATTTGAACATTTTTGAATCATATCGCACTGAATAAATTGGCAAAGAGGCTTCTTCATTATTAACGCTTTGTTTGTTTCATATTCAACCTTATTTTGCATCATTTAGAAGACATTTCTTGTCTCAAAATCACTACAGATTTGCATTAGACTCAATGGTTTTTTGTTGTTATATACAGGGTGTTCSCAAAATGCRTTAWGAAAWTTTTAAGGGTGATTCTAAAGGCTAARATAATAGTAGTAAGKCATGTAACAMAAATTCTGTCTGTAGTCTGTAGAACAGACTAAAACAAAAAAATCGAAATCGGWAYATTTTCCGAGTTACAGMTCATMAAACTTAATTTYTTTRWTTTTMATTTTTGACCTMTKCTGGACATTTCTTCRCKGATTAAATTGAAAATYGGTACWGAGTTTTMGWTWARWRATYAGTCYAAMTTKMWKAGTAAWACGATRWTTACTMYAMRTTGYCAMTATWTGGCACWTTKCCTGAAAYCMRACGAYTTSATTTKCYSCGATWRCWWTTWWAYYYCARMWCASTGWKYTGRRRTWWAAWWGYWATSGSAGMAAATSAARTCGTYKGRTTTCARGCAAWGTGCCAWATWGTGRCAAYKTRKAGWAAYTATCGTWTTACTMWKMAAKTTRGASTAATYWYTWAWCKAAAAMTCTGTACCRATTTTCAATTTAATCMGYGAAGAAATGTCCAGMAKAGGTCAAAAATKAAAAWYAAARAAATTAAGTTTKATGAKCTGTAACTCGGAAAATRTWCCGATTTCGATTTTTTTGTTTTAGTCTGTTCTACAGACTACAGACAGAATTTKTGTTACATGMCTTACTACTATTATYTTAGCCTTTAGAATCACCCTTAAAAWTTTCWTAAYGCATTTTGSGAACACCCTGTATATAACAACAAAAAACCATTGAGTCTAATGCAAATCTGTAGTGATTTTGAGACAAGAAATGTCTTCTAAATGATGCAAAATAAGGTTGAATATGAAACAAACAAAGCGTTAATAATGAAGAAGCCTCTTTGCCAATTTATTCAGTGCGGTATGATTCAAAAATGTTCAAATCCTCAACAACCCTTATAAGAAAATCATGAAACAAAATGTATATGTTATACTTTGAATTAATAATTCTTAAACTATAAGTAAATTCGTATTCGTGTTCTCCTTCGCCGTTTTTTGTGATATTTCAAGAGTTTATTGACTTCTTGCTGTCTAATTTTTTCAAACGTCGATTTTCAGAAAGATTTTTCGTTGAATGCAAATTAACAGTCGGTTCCGTTCGCTTCGTAAAATATTTTTCCTGATTTTGAATCTTGAATTTGATTATTGGTTGACCACAGACTGTGATATTTTTGGAGAATTTTTCTCGTTTTGTTGGATTTTCGATATAATTTGTCTATTTTTAAGTGACTTTTACTGGCGACTTGAACTTTCTTGGATAATTGTGCAGTGAACAAGTTGGTGTTTTTTCAATGGCTACAAACTTCTTTGATATCAATAGGTGTGTTTCACAATTTTTATAGAATTTGCAAACTCATTTTTTTATTGTCATCTTAAACGGTTTCGAAAGTTCTGTTTTTCTTTTGTTCTTTCAAGCCATTTTTTGCGACTAAACCAAGTGGCTGCAGCTTATAGAATTGCTTTGTGCCTTTTAACTTTCTTAACCTGTTGGTTTGGAAGTAAAAATCTGAACAGTTGGGGTATATTTTTACTCAAAAATCACATACTCCTGCTGGCTGTTGTGGCTAAATTAAATTAAAGTTTTTCGAGGATTTTAGCTTGAAACTTTTTTGCCCATGCTTATACAAAAACTGATGGCACCATTCGATATTAGGTGGCTCAAAATACATAAAGGCATATGTAGATGAGAAAAATTACCAATTTTTTTTTATTAACTTTCTAGGCTGCAGGAAAATTTTCTACCTTTCCCACATATTTTTCAAGTTTTCCGGTTTTGCTTATAACTGATTTTAATTGTTACGTTGATAAAAAATAAGCACACTGCCCAATCAGCAGCCAAAAACACATAAAAAATATATAATTTAAAACAAAATTGAACGATTATGTTCATCCAAGGCCAATTTATTTTTTTTAAAACTCATTTTCCGAGTTTTTCGAAGATTTTTGCTTATAACAATTTTTTGACGATACTTTGAGAAAAACTGATGGAAAACTTAGACGAGTTTTTAGAAGGATAAACAAACTAACACGTTTTTTCCTTTATAAAATCAATGGCCAACGAATTGCTTTTCACTATAGAATTTTGCTTTCGAAGATATTTTTAGTCGGGGAAAAAGTCCCCGACTAAGAAAAAATTAAGGTCCGGCTTAATGCACAACTGAATAATCAACCATGCTTTGAAGCTTATAAATTTTAACAACTTGTCTCCTATTCAGACGATTTGCCCTTTTATCTAATGGTTTACTTTGGATATTCTGCTGCTGCTGCCGCGAAAATTCTATCGATTCTGCTACTTTGAGGAATAAACAGTTGAACTCCCCATGTCCCTACACAATATCCTGATCGGGAATACCGACGAGGATCATTCAATTATGCGCTTGTCGGCAGCTCGCTGGAAAATTTGTTGCCTACCGATATAATTTAGTATTTTCATTTTTTCGCCGCGGTTCTTGAAAGGAAATTGTTCCATTGTCCAATAGACTGATTTATTTGCAACAGGAAAACGCTCCGGTCGATCTTTGAAACATTACATTCATTAGTCGATCAAGAGTAAGTGGATTTCGAGTTATTGTCAAAAATTGCGATGATGGATTTTTGTGCAAAAAAGGTGCAACTAATTTGAAGATTTTCTTATTTAGATATGGGGAGTATGAAGACTAGTGGAAATTAAATGTGCAACGTTTGAAAGTAGAACATACATGCGAAGTATAATAAACAGTTTAACTAAAAAATGTGGATTTTTGGAGAAATTTGGATCTTGCGAAGCGAACACTGGCGAAAACACTAAGGAACCGGATCTTGCAGACGATTTTACGTGTTGTGATGAGTGAGCCTGTCTCTTGCTTTTTTTGCAAGGCCACAAAACAAGGCCAAGGCCAAGACTTTTACAAGAGTCTTCCTAGACTCTCTGCAAGAGCAGGAACTTTATGTCTCCGGGTGGAACCTTACGTGATTATCAGAATCAGGAGGTTGTGGTTGCTCAGAGCAAGGAAACATAGACACTGGCAAAAAATGCACACTCTTTTATTAAGCACAGCCGTCTGCACATCCATATTTATTCAGTTTTGGGTGAATGCTTTCTATAACAGTTCAACAGTTGTTCAGCTGTATCCTCTGGTTTTGCCTTTGCTTCTGTACAGTCTTCAATATACCGTTCAATTTTAGCATCCACACTGCCGAAGATGGCCTTCACCTTTTCGGTAATGAGTGGTTTGTTGACACTGCCGTCCTCGTTCTGCCAGCCCAAGTTCTGATCGAAGCAACTTGAAGAATGAGAAGATTTGGATTTAATACGGAAATATTTACCTTGGTGATGCACAGAGCATGAACTCCAGCGTTAGCTGGGGCAGGGCCGTTGCTTTCCAGATAATTTTCGAGGGCCTTCTGGTCTACAGCAGTAGCAGGGTTTTCGTCACACGTTCTCGACATTTCCATGATTCGATTACGGCCAGCTTCAAATGTGCTTTGGTTGATCTCTGCATCAGCCTGGGGGTGATAATTCAATTTGACCACAATTTTCGATGGTTGAAGACTTTGCATCACGATGAATTAATTTTTCTAATAATTAATTATTAGAAAACTTTTGCATTGAGAACTCTGAAAGTTTATTTGCTCTATAAGCTTTTTTATAGAAAGTCTGTTGAAAAAGACTACTTCTTCGTCTGAGGACGAAGAAGTTGTAAACAAGGCAGTCCTGTTCTATCTACTTGAACGGCAACAGATATAACACTGTGTGATCTAGTGATCTAGATTTTCCCAGCAACAGAACTAAGTTCGAAGAAAGTCGACGAGTTCTCTTCTAAAATCGATCTCTCAATTTTTTTTTGCATAAAAAATTCAGTTTGCTTGTATTTTACAGTAAAACGTTAGGAAAAACGCGGTTTTTCTGTTTAGATACAGTATTGTTTAGAAATATTGACCTAAAAGTGAAGAAACCCCAGTTTCCAAGAGTTTTCGAAATAAATGCTTATAATTATGAAAATATTTTTGAAAAAAGACCCAGAATTAATTATTAGTGTTTTGTCCATAAAACGAAGAAGCATAACGTTTTCCAAAAATTTTTGAAAAGCTGTTAAGGAGGCGAGTGTTTCAATAAAATTTATCTTATAGTTTTTCACCGAAAATACCGGAATATTAAGATATACTGAAGATTGTCAGTATTTTAAGTAAAACTAAAAAATAATTAGATTTTCGAGTACAAAGAATTTCTTAGTAGGAACTTTGTTCAAACTGGAATGACCTGAAAATTTAAAGGAACTTCAGAGAAAATCTTCAGAGCGATGAATGATGGGCGGCGAATTTTCCAAATATTTTTTTAAAACTTTTGCTCCCTGCTCGTTTTCAGTTTTGGCGAAAATCTTAATGGTTTTCGGGAAAAAACAGGAGGAACTTATTTTCGTTTCTGTCCCGAATTCGAGGTTGAAAAAAGTTTTTGTGAAATTTTTCGAAGCTATAAATTTATGTTGTAATTTTTCGGGTAAAAAACCTTCAGATTGTCAGTATTTTTAAGTGAAGCTCTACAAAATAGAGCATTTTTGAGTAGAAAGTAAAAGTAAAAAACCACATTTTTTAACAAACTACAGTCCTCAGAGGTATGGAGGTGACGAGATTTCCAAGTAATCTGTTATAAACGTTCGCTTATTCTGTTCGTTTTTTGAAAGAAAATTATTTGAATTTTGTTCAAAATTTTTTTGTAAAGCGACGAAGGATTCGAAATTTATTTCACAATTTTTCGCGGAAAATACCCTAATATTGTCAGCATTTTTAAGTGAAACTTTAGAAAATTGAGCATTTAGAAGAAAGAGTAACTTGGCTAAAACTGGAAAATTCTTAAATTTTGAATAAATTTTAAAAATATTATTAATAAATGGCCTTTAAAATAAATCTAGAAACAAGTAAAAAAAGTCATCAGCATTTTTCCAGCAAAGGAAATTGAGTTACCGCGCGGGTGCGTTGGGTTGGCGCACCAACCAATTTGCGTAGCACTGCGCCAACTCCTAAAAATTCACTGAGTTACCCAGGCCTAAACAGATATGAATTTTATGCGGGACATTTGAACTGTTTCTCTTTCTGGCTATTCGTTGTTGATCCATCTGTTTTCAGATAAAAATATTTATAGTTTGCATTTGACTAAAGAAACCAGAATATACTTACTATTCAAATTTTCGCTACTTTAAAAGTTGTGTATTTTTATTAGTTGCCGGAATTTCTGCATTATTTAGAGAATCTATCAATTATCATCAGTGCTGGGTTGATTGGCCAATAGATTGCGGGAGAAAAAGCAATTTTTTCTGGGACTTTCTCTATTTTTGGCTATATTTAATTCAAATCTTTTCTTTTTTTTCAATGTTTTCTTCTTTTTTTTAATGCAACTAGCATGTACAGTCATGGACATCAATTTAAAAATTTTGCGCAAACTTTTCCTGACTTTCAATTTTTTAACCAAATTGACTATTAAGTAATGGTTGTTGCATTTTTATCATTCTGTCTACATATTCCCAGAAATGTTTTTGCAATACGAAAATTGACAACACAAACACTAAGGATTTGAGTTGTTCTGAGCAAAAATTTGACACAGGAAATATATCGTCGCTTTAGAAAGTTAATTAAAAAGACAATTTTCAGTGATTGAAAAAAGCAAAAAACGAAAGTTGTTTTTGAAAGTGGAATTTTTTTCTCACCAGAAAATTGGACTGGACATTCGCATAAGAAGTATAAAAAAATTAAAATGAAAAATGAAAAAATTATCAAGTGATTTTTTTATGATTCTAACTATGAATTGATTGATTTTCCATTGAATTTTTAATGTGCACACATATATTGGAATCAACTAATAGCATGCAAACGTACTCATGTTTTGAAAATGATCCAAAAAATCGAGTTTCGGGTGTATGAAATTGCCAGATGCACAAACAAGGTGTTGCTTGTAAATTACTAAAAGAAAATAAACATAACATTTTCCAAAAGTGACAATTTATTGATCCAGAAAATCAACTGTGAAAACTCTTGCAGAAATATTTACAAAAGTTTTAAATGAGGGTTTTTTGTCGGATTTATTGCGAAACTTACCATAGCAGTGGCAGTGAAAGCACACACGAACAAAGCAACAAGAGACTTCATTTTCAAATCAATATTGAGTTTTCGCCAAACGAATATTTCATTTATACTCATTACTATCAATATGCGTGTTGACTAGTTCACTCTTTAAAGCCAGCAGGTCATCGAAGATTTTTTTTGCTGGACAAATGATCTATTTTTGGGTAGCACAGGTCAAGGATGGACCAAACATGCAACGCTTGTTGCATTTATTGAAAGTAGAGTTTACTCGCTAGGAGACGACCTTCTATTGCATAATTTTCCAAATGTATTCCATTGTAAATATGGATTTCTTCTGCACTGGCCATGATCATTTGCCGGGAAATAGGGGTGATTTTGTATCAGGGAAATCAAGGCCTGTAACAATCTGATTCAGATACTAACGCGACTCACAATGATGTGGCATCTTCTTTTATTGCTTGATCGGAATATAACATTATCCTGGATATGTGGGGCGTGCGTCATTTCCATTTCATATCCCACATCGTCTTTTACGAGCAGAAATCGCGATTTTCTGGCCAAATCAAATCGGGGTTTGCCATCCAACTTTCATAGGGAAAGTCCGCATTTTCAGTCCGTTTTATTTAAAGGAATGTTCGATTTTTTTTTGCTTGAAAGAGAAGTTGGATGACAAAAAAACTCTTAGAACACGGACCGACACTTAGACCATCGGGTTGACACCACAAATTTGCACATTTAAACCGAAGAACACGTAGAAAAACTTAAAAGTATACCGTTAGCTTTCAGCCAATATTTGCAGATTTTTTATTTTTCCTTCATCGGCCAATAAAAAGAATTAAGCCTTGCTTTCTGAAGGATATATTTGAATACGTTATTCGTTATGTTCCAAATCACAATAAGAAACATACTGTAAAAAATACATCATTTTTTAACAGATGCAAAAATGTTTATTTGCAGGTCGATTAGTTGTTTGAGAGCACAAGAACTGTTACTTCTATCGTGTGTACAAAAACATAAATCCTTGATTTTTGAGGCATTTATTCAATAAAGGCAGGTTTTTTCCAATATTTGCAATTATTTTAATTTACTTTAAAGACGCGAAACACATCAATTAATTTGAAATATTTATTCCATTAGTTGAACTGATTTCTCTACTTCTTTTGTAATGATTGCATTAAAAGTTAATGCATTAAATTGGAAAACATTTTAAATTCCCGCATAGAATGTTAAAAAAGGTATGTGCAAAAAGTTCCGGTTGGAAAAAATGCACAACAAAAAATGTCAATCGACGTGTCTCAACGTTTTTTCGAATCCTATTTATTACCGATTTTGTCCAATTGGTTGAGACAGTGTATATTTTATTCACGCTCATTCCATTTTCGCTTCTAAAACATCGTATAATACTTCCAAGACTCTACAATAAAACAAATTTTAATAAACCTAACTTAGTGCAGCGACTGTCTAAAAAAAATTCCTCGGCATCCTCGTGTTAAATAAAAAAACACCTAAAACGAATTACAAAACCGAATATTGATTGCTCTTTGGAAAACTCTGGAGGCGCAGCTGCGTATGTTGTTTATAACTACTTTGCATTTTGATCAATTTTTATTTTCAATTTCAGAATGTCAACAACATTTTTCAAACATATTTAACATTAAATGCAAAGAAGGGACCTAATCATTTGAGATGGATGAAAAGAAAACCACTTTTGGGTTAATTTTATTGGGCAAAATCGTGTGGACAAAGTGTCGATCTTCGGGCATCTTCAGGCAAATTTCAAGACTTTTTGAATGTTGCAAGGTGGCTTTCGTGGATATTCGAGCAGGTCGCATGCTCGATATTTTTTTGACAGAATCTTATAAAGTGAGAGAGCCACTTTTATATTACGTTTGTGAAGTGAAGGTTGTTCTATAAGTAAAAAGCGTTTAGATTTATAGTCGTTTTCAGGTAATTTGCAGGCATTTTTTCAAATTTTATTTGTAGTTTGCTCTTGTTTATGCAGGCTGCAGTTTGGCACTTATTTTTGTATTTCTTCGGAAACCAGTCCAACTACAGAGTCAATTTTGTATGGTTTTTTTGAGGATAGCGTGTTTGATGAATAGGAAACGTTTCGATTTTGAGTCATCAACAGGCTATTCTCACGATTTTCACGGTTGATTATGCAGGTTCAAAATTGATATTTATTTTCTCAGAGAACAACAAGTGAAGTTGGATATTCACTTTCGAGTGTATTTTGTAAGGCAAGGCGTGTTCTAAACGTGAGAGGAAAGGTTCCACTTTGAATTATCATGAGAATATTTTGAATATTTTTTTAAATTTGTTCACATAAGTTTGCGGTTGTTTATGCCAAGATTGTCATTTATTTTCTCAGAAACCAGTGAAGGCAAAGTTTTATTTTTGCGTGTACTTGCGCGCGATACAGGTGTGCTTTATAGCTGAAAAAAGTCTCGTTTTGAGTCATCATCAGGCGATTTTACGATTTTCTGTGGTTACTTATTCAGGGCTGAGTTTGGCATTTATTTTGTTTGAAGCCAGTAAAGTTGAATAGTTGGTTCCGTGTGCATTTTCTAGGGTAAAATGCGTTCTGTACCAGGAAAGAACGCTTTTATATCGATTTATAATCAGATTATTTTCAAATATTTTTAAAATTGTAAGATAATTTTGCAATTATTCATCCTAATGCCATATTGATATTTGTTTTCGGAAAAGCCAGTAAAGTTGCAGATTCTTTTTCGGATGCATTTTATAGGGCAATATACGTTTTATGAGTGGGCAAAATGTTGTTTTGAATCATCATCAGGATATTTTCAAGATTTTTTTTTTGCTAGAAACTAGTCAAGTTCAGTATCCACTTTATAGGGTAAATTATGCTCTATGTCCAGAAGTAAGTTTCGATTTTGAGTTATTATCAGGCTTTTTAAAATTTGCCACAATTAATTGCGGGTTTTATGCAGGTCCAAGATTGAGATTTATTTTCGCAGAAACCAGTAAATCCGAATATTATTTTTCATGTGTATTTTGTAGACAAAAATGCGTTTAATTGTGAGAATTTTTTTTAAAGTCATCATTAAGATGCTCTCGAGACTTTTAAACTTGAGATTGAGTTTTATCGGTAATTATGCACGCTCAAGTTTGGCATTAATTTTCTCAGAAGCAAGTGAACGTGAATATTCACCTTGGATGCATTTTGCAGGACAAAGTGCAATTTTCCACAAATTTCGAACCTAATTTTGCGGTGGTTTATGCAGTTTTCAGATTAACATTTACTTTCTCACAAACCAGTGATGCTAGAAAGATCTTTTCGGGTGTATTTTGTAGGGCAAAATAGGTTTTATACGTCAGTAGAAAATTTTAATTTTGAGCTAACATTAGGGTATTTTCTAGAATTTTTAAATTTGCGATAGATTGCTGTCGCTGTTTAGGTAGGCTTAAGTTTGCCATTTGTTTGTTCAGAAACCAGTTAAGTTGAGTATTCACTTTTTCTATATTTTATTGGAAGGTGTGGACGTGGTAGGAAAGTTTCGCTTTTCATTTATCATCAAGGTATTTTAAATATTTTTTGAATTTGCGATTGAAATTTGTAGCTTTGCAGTCCAAACTTTTGGCAGTTATTTTATGAATATCCAGACACGATGAAGAGTCACCTTTGTATAAGGTTTGTAAAGGAAGGAGTGTTCTATGAGTGGAAAATCTTTCGATCATAAACCATCCTCACGGAGTTTTCATGATTTTTTTTAATACATTGTTTACACAGACAAGCGTTTCACAGTTATTTTATCAGAAACTGGTCAAGTCAAGGATTGACTTTCGTATAAATTTTTGGAGCAAGGACGGTTTCATAAGTGGAAAAACTTTCGATTCTCAGTCATCATTAGGGGATTTTTGAGAAGGGTTTGAATGTGCTGTTGATTTCTGCCGATTATGCTCTATGTTCAAAAAATACACTACGAAAAACCCTGTTCTGTGACGAAGAAGCCAATTCCGCAATCACCGCTGCTTTAGCCGTTTATGACTGAGCAATCAGTCGATAAAACTTTTTCAAGCTGTCTTCGAACTGTTGCACTTCTGATCCTTTTCCAGTCGTTTCACCATTTGGAAACTTCAAAACACGCGTAAGTAACACCAAGTACAAGTCTGTGGAATACAAAGCATTGCCTTTAGGGGCTTTGTGCTTAGTTGACCCTAACAGATTTGTTCATGAAATTCCAACAGTCCGGTCCAAGAGCAGGTTCATGAGAGCACTTTGCAGCATCCTTGACCCTGTGGGTTAAACGCTGATGCTTCACTTCATTATAAGGGCGAAACTAGATCAGAATTTAAGGGTGGAAGGGTCAAAGGTGCGGTATTTTGGTGCGAAGGGATGCGGGGTCCAGCGTGTGGCGACTTGCTGATGCACGCTCTCAGAATTTCGTATTGTTCGGATGGGTTTTGTGGTCAGGTTGGGGCCTAAATTGGCTCTTAGTGGCTTATAGGATCAGCTGTTATGAAGGGCCGACACGCATAATTTTCCTCTTAATTCTAAATTAGATTTAGGAAAATTGAAATGATTTGTTCGATCGGGCAAATAAAGTGGAACGTGTCGCGCTTATCGCACAACAAAGTGTCGCAATAAATCATAGCGAAAGTTACCCCACGATTTCCCCGTTTGATTGGCGAGATTTTTTACCAGCGCGAAAGAATAAGGGGGGTCGCTGGCAATACTCGCTTCGTTCCCATTTTTACGGATTTGGCCGCGGAATATATCGACTTAAATTAGGTAGTTGGTTGCGACAGTGACATATAAACTCGGTCTGGCGACAAAAACCAAATCCTATTCCCGGGAGCCGCCCGAGTCCGGGCTTATTTAAATCAGGGGGTCCCGGGGAACGGCTGATAGCTTCTGACGCCACAATGGGATGCTGCCCATCCCTCTACGTAAATATGCACGAATATGACAAGGGACGGCGTGCTTTTCGATGGGAAGAGGCGCTCTTCAATTTACTCGGATTGTTGATATTTGGAATCAGCCAACATCAACCCCAAATCGACTCGTTTTCTCTCCAAAAATACCACAGAAAACTGGGTTTCACTGTTTTTATAGTCCCATTTAATCAATCAGTTTTCAAATCTTTTGCACTCTAAATTTGCCA